TGCATCTTATTTAGAAAAAAACAGACATTTATATTTTCTCCATTTGGTTCCCGAACAGAAAGCTCAAATACTGGACTGTCTGGTTCAAAACTGGATACCTGGCAACCCTAGGGTTTGTAGGGCCTTCTGATTCACTTGGCATGAAAGGTGAGGAATAGATCAGACTTTACAGACAGAAGAAGCTGATTAGATGACTGTGTCCATATGCTGTACCCTGCATGCCACCACATTCCACCTCCTGCAGCCAGTCCCATGTTAATTAGCTCATTTTATTTCCAGAAGAATGGGCCAGAGCAACCCAGGGAGGCCCCATTTCCATGCTGGAGGGTGCGTCTAGCTCTCCCTGGTGTCAAAGGGAATTGCTCCCTATGTGGGAAAACTGTGGCCTTAGGTCCCTACACTCCCACCTCTGGGAATCTTGAAATCTGCATGTCAGTCTGGATTAGCACACTTAGGGTGATCTTGTTTCTGAACATAGCCCTGTACCCTGCCTCCAGTCTCCGTGAAACCCCCTTACAATGCTCTGCAAAGCTGGGAAAAAGAAGCCACTGCTTACTAGTCCATGGTTTAAATTGCTGTGACAACGCAAGGGGATCCCTTTGGTGCCACAGAAACACTGCCTGGAATATAGTTTCATGCACATCTAGATGGTGGGAAGGGAAACTCAGGAGAACGGAGCTCAGAGACTCCAACCTAGCGCAGTCACGTACTGTGTTAATTTGGCCTGCGTCATTCAAAACTCTCTTTGCAAACCAGGCTTGGCGCATGGCCAAGGGCTCAGGCACCCGTCAGCTGTTACTAGGCAGACTGGAAGCCCAGAGATTGTAAACCTCTATTAAAAACCATCAGTGGCTGCTGGGTGCGTCTGCTCATTATAATAGAAAGCTCTGGGCTTCCCGTAAATGGGCTGGTTTATAAGATCTTTGGATGTTGACACAAGCCTGTGTTATGGGTGAGACAGGAGAGAACCCAGCATAATGTGAGACCTGCCCATGACCCCGGTTCGGGGTTTCCCCCATAAACATAAGTGTTTATAGGAAACATACAATAGAAATCCTCGTTCGAGCTGGGAAAGGCCCAGGACTAGAACAGCGGTGCAGGGCTGAGATTCCTCACCAAAGCTTAGAGAGGGGAGTCCAGTATTTGCCTAGAAAAAGGGGGTGTTACATCTTGGCACTGAGGGGTGTCAGCAGAGCTTCGGGAGGGGGGCAGGAATGGAATAGCAGAGGGCTGCAGGTCAAGGTGGAAGGCCATCCGCAGACTGCCTGTGAGCACAAGGGAACCCAGGGCTGAAATAGCAGGGGGCTGCAGGTTGGGACTGAGGGGGATCAAATCAATCTTTCTCCCTCCCCAGCCTTCCCTGGTTCTCTGCCTCTCCACTCCGTCCATGGAAATGCCCCTCCCCACCTGTCTGACTGACAGCTCCTCGGGAACGGCTGACTTCCCATCAACACAGCCCAAACACAACTCCTGATCCTCACTTCCCAGCGCTTCCCTTCACCCCTTCTCGGTCACCAGGGGTCGCACCCCAATCTTCCCTACTTAGCCACCCCCTGAGAGCCAGGTGGGGTATCTACTCCCTGCTGCTTCCTCCTCTGTGACACTGCAGAGCTGTCTCCACAAATGACCCAGGTTCTCAGCTATGTAACTCTCTTGCCAGCTGCTGTCAGCAGCAAAAAAGGGCCAGGTAAGTAACATTGTCTCAAGCCCTCACCCAGAAACCTGGGAAATTATATCCCCCCCCCCCCAGTGTTCCCTGTAAGCTGAGTGCTTGGGCGGATGCTCAGGAGAGATTCAGGTAGGCGGTGTGTCTATTGGTGGTGCACATTGGCACATGCCTCAATGCACACAACAAAATTTATTCCAGACAGGGACAGGGGCGGGGGGGAGTACAGGGATGCCATCTCCAGGAGCCCTTGATAGGCAGCACAGCTATACTCATGTATTCTGAGTGCAAGGGTTAAAACAAAGAGGACCTGATTGGAGGGGCTCAAAGAGGGGACAGTTATATATAGTAGGTCAGACCCCTCCCCCCCCGCTCCAAGTGTCTTAGCAATAGTGCTAACTTCTGTTCTCCTCAGGTCATTATAAGGAGAGCCTTGCAAATCCATAGATACCTGCTTTATATCCGTGGGTATCCGCATGCGAATCCGCGGCTCATTTTTGCAGATACAGAGGAGATTGCAGATACAAAATTGTGTATCCGTGCGGGGCTCTAACGATGATTACCTGGTACCTTATAGCCACGCCTCCTCCCCAGAGCCTCACACACAGTTTGATGTCCAGAGTTGCTGGGATCCAAGGACTCTGGCAGGTTGGTACTGCCAGGGCTGCTCCCAGGGCTCTGCACCCTGGCCCAGCTGAGGCGATTGCAGGGTGAATTGCTATGTAGGCTTGCAGGCACATGGCCAGCAAACCCGTGACTGCTCCCTTTGCCACACATGGGTGTGTCTGCTGTAACCTTCTCTCACCCTCTACTCAGAGCCTACCCCCCAGATTGTGAGGCCACTGAAACAAGAGCAGTCTGTGATGCTGGTTTGCACAGTGCCTAATACACTAGAACCCTAACCTTTCTTTGGGGTCCGTAGGCCCTGGCGCAAGAGACATGAATTAAATCATCTGCGTGATGGGGGAGTTGCAGGGCAAGGCAGCCGTTCTCTGGTAATAGCAAGCGTTGGTCATCTCGCCCATGTATTTCTGGTCTGCTTTGGGGGTGGACGGGTTTATTGCCCAGGCCTAGTGGATAGAGCACTGGCCCAGTGTTGCTATTTCTACCTCTGTCACTGGCCTGCAAGTGATCCTGGGCAAGGAACCTTAGCCCAAATCCTCAAAGGTATTTCACATGGGCAGTGGGTGATCCTAGGGCTAAGGGAGACAAGTCCCCATTCCCACTACCTGAGGTTCCATGGGAACCAAGCGCCCCCCTCGCTGTAAGGGCAGGCAACCCCTCTCCCAGTGGGTCGCCTCAGGCTTTCCCTCTAGCCCAGGAGTAGGGGGGGAGGCGAGGGTGACACACGGTCCTCAGCCTTCCCCTTCCCCCTAGCTGGAGCTCAGGGGAGGGGAAGGAGGTCAGGCAGTGGGCATCCCCGGATTTCCCCAGAGCATAGGAGGGGGAGAAGGGGAGGCAGGGCCAGATTGCAGTTTGGGAAAGCATTGCCTTCCCCTGCCTCTTATACCTGCCACCCATGTGAACTCTCAGTCGGGGCTTTCCCCTCCTGGTGCCTCTGTTTCCCCATCTGCGCGCTGAGGATAATGATCCTATCCCTCTTAGCAAGGTGCTTGGGAAACCACAAATGAAGCGTGCTAGGACAAGAGCCAGGGGTTGTTATTAAATGGAGACCAGGCTCTGCATTCGGAAGTTTACAGCACACACAGGGACATCTGGTGGTCAAATCACATATTGCCAGTAAACATAGTGCTTCCCAGCTCTGCTGCATTAGCTGAGGCAGGTTGGGTGTCTTACAGCTCAAGTCAACATCTTAAACACCTGCTGGAAATGGATGGGCAGCCAGCAGGGGTCACAGAGCGTGTGTCAGGTGCTGCCAATGGGACAATCCATTTGGGACAGGAGCCCCCCCCAAAAAAAAAAAAAAAAAGAATAAGCATGTGCCGCTGAAATCAATACTTCTGGGTCAGTGCTTGCCAGGCCGAGGTCCTTGTTGTTGGCCCACTCTGCAGATGACAGAGGATCGGAGAACACTGATCTGCTCCCTGGACGCCAAATGCAGCTGGGGCAAAAACTCCTCCAGCCATTGCAGGAGCAGCCAGAGCAGCTGGCAACCAATTCGGAGCTTCTCTGACTTGTAATGGGGTGACCATGGCAACGAAATGGAAGGACTCCGGAATTTTCCAAGAAGGGGAGCTATGGCAACAAAGAGGGGCTGGAACCTGGCTACCCCCCTGGAGTTCTAGAACACTGCAACAGGGGTAACCAGGTGGACAGGTTCCAGCGCATTACCAGAGGTGGCACGCTGGCAGTGTGGGCAAGCAGATGCAGGTTGGCAGCCGGCTGGGGAGGGCACCAGAGGAGTTAGAAGGTGATGGGGCAGGAGAGGAGGTTGTAGACACTGAGCAAGGCACAAATCAGGGAATGAGCTGAGCAAACGGGAATCTAGAGTTGAGATGGGTGACATGAGGCTGGGAGTGATGACTGGAGAAGGTGAGGCTTCTTCTAAGAGAGAGTTCCCAATAGGCTGGAGAAGCTGGATTCAGAGTCAGAGCCCTTCCACCCTGCAAATCCCCAAAGGAAATTTTCCGTGAGGAAAGCAGGAGTTGAGCTCATCCATGCTTATTTCCATTATCCAGCTTAGGGTTTTGGTTTGCCATGGGATGGGAGTGACACAGATTTTCTGGGACCGACACTGGATCAGCTTAGGCTGCTCGCTGGAGAACAATGTGTCTGTGGTGTGTCAAGGTGCTTATTAAAGCCTAGCTCAGAGCTATCCCAGCTTGGGATCTGATGGGCTCTGAAGTTTCCTCAGCGTCCTCAGAGCAGAGGAGAACCTCACTGGGAGGAGGTGGGTTGTGAGCCATCAGCATGTTCCCTGACTCTGCTTTCTTGTTCATAGCTGCCCTGATGTGGGGATTTTCCTTGTCTCTAAGATTACTTCTCTCCCACCAAGTGCCCTGCCTATAAATGCAAGGCGGTACTCTCCTTTCAAGGTGGTGCTCTCTGCCCCCCCACTCCCACATAGCC